ATAGTAGAATTGATGTTAATTATAAATAAGTTTTAAATATAGCATTTAAACTTCTAATCTTCTAAGAAAATACTAGGATATTGTAGGCATAGTTAAAAAGATGAATTTCCATAATATTTTATTGAAGTTCTTAAATTGCATTACAGTGATCTAGAAATTAGCTTAACTTTCCATTTCTGTTTGATTTATGAGAGTTCTTATACTCGTAATATACTGCAGTGATTTATTCCTTTTTGTGCATTACACATCCTATTGATAAAAGACGTAATACCTTAATGGAGCTTAACAAAAAAATACAAGAAAGAAAAACCAATTCAGTTTAGAATTACCAAAAACTCTGTTTAGAATTATGATTTGAACTTTTATTGTGCCTAAAATCCTGAGACTCATATTTTTGTGGCATATAAGAGCCGAGGTGGCGCAATGGTTAGGGTGCAGTACTGCAGGCCACTTCAGCTGACTGTGATCTGCAGTTCAGCAGTTCAAATCTCACCGGCTCAAGNAAAAAATGTTCTTTGTCCCTCAACTATTAATAATTTAAAAATTCTTTGGGTTGTAAAAATACAAATTGGTGTGGAAGATTGTACGCATTTGGTGGGGGGAAAAAGAGTGTTTGTGTCCTTTTCTTGACTGCTCTTAAAGCAATAATAATCTTTGGTATTGGAGCTGGAGCACCAATTGTATTTTTTTTCCCCTTAACATTAAGGCAGAATGACATGCCCACCCAGACAGCCTCATCTGCAGGCAATCTATTTAAAATCCAAATACAGGAGACCCTTCACTATTTGGATGTCAAAAATGTGGAGGTTGTTTCTTAAACATGATTTCAACAGCCAAAAATGGAGTGCTTAACAAAAGCTTAGAAAAACCGTACATTATCATCAATCCAGTTTAGTCTTTATGAAAATGGTTTTGGAATAACTGCATGGTGTATACTAGAAGATAATTCTGTAATGTATTATTTGGGTTAAAATTACATTGAATTTAACATGCCTCACCTTTGGCTTTGATGCTTATGAGAAAATGAAGTATGTCGTTCAAATAATTAAAGATTTGATCCAAAAAAATGGTACTCCCAAGAAAATATTGATCTGTTAATATTTTTCTCATAATTGGTGCGTAGGTGTCATAGCATATGTTGAAGTATGGTCATCCAGCAGAACAGAAAACTACTCAAAAGCCTTTACTCAACAGCTCCTTGATATGGGAGCAAAAGTAAGTAACTAAACTGGTTGGTATACAAACCTTTATTTTAATAAAGTAAAGCACAACATGCATAAATATGGGGCATGATTCCGAAACTTTAGAGATTGAATTAATACTCTAAATTTAATCCAAGAAAATTATGTTGTAGCCGAATGTATGAGTGAATAGGTCATTTCAATTCTACTGATATGAAGGATATAAATAGGCAGATACCAAAATGATTTCAGAATTCACCAGTGCCTTCTCCAGTCTCTTGAGATGAAGAAGCCAAAATAGTTGTTCACCAACAGGTAAAATCTTTCAGTGCCTGTAGAGAAAATAGGCAATTTCTACATTAATAGAAATTGAGGTGTTTTTTTTTAATTGAACCCAAATCAGATCACTTTAAAAACTATAGAAAGTTTTGCTGTGATATTTCACTTCACTAAACTTCAAGTAAAGCTGCCTTGAAAAACTCCTTTGCAAAGCAACTCCATCACTTGTTTTACTTGCTTGCTTTTGTGGTGTTCCCCCATCTCCCAGATACTGGAGATACAAAAAAGCAAATAGTTCCCTTCGTTTTGTTGCTGCGGATTTATAATATCTTGCTTGATAAAGAATTCTTAAAATTCCATGGTTGCACACTAGTCAAAGATCTGGGATAGTTTAATATTTAATTTGATTTTACA